GGACAAGTGCAGGTCAGAATTTGGTCTGTGGAGCAGCAGAAGCAGAGGCTCTGGAAATGCAGAACCCCAGGCCCCACCCTGATCTCCTCAGCCAGAAACTCTGGGGTGGGACCGGGCACTCTGTGTTTCAGGGAGGCCTCCGGGGGATTCTGATGCTGACACTGGCTCAGCTCTCTCTACCCCAGTGCCAGGGTCTCAGGTATCTCCAAGCTGCATGGCTGTCTGTGTGCCCAGCAAGTTGGCATTGATATTTATTTCAGAAATCTTGGCTGTTTCCATTTTAATAAAGGAAGCAGACTCAAGCAGTACTATATTGGATTTGATTTTGATCTAATAAAAATGCCAAGTTGCTCTGAGCCCAGAAAAGTCTTCCTTGAAATTCCCTCTGCTATTTCGAGGGCAGCAGCGGCAGAGACTCATCTAGATGGAGCTCCCAGAAGCCACCTCTATATCCGGCGAGTGACAGCCTCTCACTCAGCCCAGCCTCACAGACACACCTGGCAAAATCAAAAGCTTGTCTCAGGCATTGAACTGGACAGCTGCAATCAGCTGCAAACCCCAGCTGTCCCTAAAAGGAAGATGCAGACACCTGGACAATATGGTAGCACTGCCTCCATCAAATGTCACATCTGATGTGCCCCCGAGCTAGCTGGTGGCACTGCAAAGCCCCAAAGGCAGGTTTCAAAGGCAAATTCTTTCCTCAGGAAGAAAAAAAAAAATGTGGCAGAATCTATATCACAGTAGCCCAAGAAAAAATAGTAACTTTTGGAACAGTTAAGATAACCAGAAGTTCATGTAACTGTTTATGTAAAAGTGGCTTCTCGGGTGGGATATGGTGGGAGAAAATGAGAAGTTTAGAGAGGCAATTCAGCACCTACTGTGTGCCACCCACTGTTTTAGGCTCTCAGGATACAGGCTTGAACAAAACAAAAGACAGGGTGCCTGATCTCATGGAACCCAGCGGAGAAAGGCAACAAAACAAAAACCAGGTATGTAAGTATAATGTCAGAGAGGTACAGATACGATGTAGAAGAGAAAACACAGTGATATGAGGTCGACTGGGGAAGCTGGCGCAGGTTAGGGGAGCTTCTCTGAGGAGAAGCTTAAAGAGGAGACAAGGGACTTCCCTGGTGGCGCAGTGGTTAAGAATCCGCCTGCCAATGCAGGGGACACAGGTTCGAGCCCTGGTCCGGGAAGACCCCACGTGCAATGGAGCAACTAAGCCCATGAGCCACAACTACTGAAGCCCACGCGCCACAACTACTGAAGCCCATGCGCCTAGAGCCCATGCTCCGCAACAAGAGAAGCCACCACAGTGAGAAGCCCGCGCACCGCCATGAAGAGTAGCCCCCGCTCGCCACAACTAGAGAAAGCCCATGTGCAGCAACAAAGACCCAACACAGCCAAAAATCAATCAATTAATTTTTTTTTTTTTTTTTTAAAGAGGAGACAAAGCCAGCCATGCAAAGATTTAGAGGGAGAGCTTTTCAGGTGGAGACAAGAGCACGTGCAAAGATCCTGTGGAGTGAATGGGTTCTGTATGTTCAAGAAAGAGAAAGGCCAGGGTGGCTGGAGCAGAATGAGGGAGGGGAGAGTGGGGAAGAAATGAGGTGGAGAGTTTGGGGGTCAGAGCAGGCCTGGTTCCAGGATAATGGGATAGATCGACACGCCAAGGTGAGGTCTACTTTCCCGGGGGGCCAGAGACCTCAACGAAGTCAGTCTGCGTCTCAGAGCCTCAGCCTCTCAGTCTGCACAGTAACAACAATCAACCCTCCTTCCCAGGGCTGTGCCAGCCATCAGATGAGACGGCTGTGAAGTGCTGAGCGGGACCTGCACACAGTAAGTGCTTAATAATGCAGGCTCCCTGGCACTCCCCCCACCCCACCCCGCCCGTGCGTCCTGCTGGCAAGTCAGTACACCAACCAGATCTGAGCAGTTGCTCAGTAGAGAAATATTGCAAAACTTGTCCAGGACTTTCCAAAACATTTTCTTGGCCAAAATCCCACTAGCAGCTAAGAGGCTGCATTCTGGAGACGGTGTCATTTCCCCTGATCTGGCTGCTCTCCAGCCCATGAACCATGTGAGGACCCAGTCCACAGGTGGCTGGGCCCCGCATCCCCAAACGCCACCTGGGGTCTGGCAGGTGGGGTGTGCCCAGCCCACGTTCGGGTGCCTCCCCGTCAGCTCCGACAGCAGATGGGGTCTTCCTCTTCCTCACTGTTGTGAATCTGAGACCCCAGCGCCTCCGCTGGTCCCCGGGGAAAGACAGCCATCCGGATAACTCGGCTACCTGATGAAAGGCACACATGGCAGAGGTGCTGGGGACTCTGAGGTTCCTTTCCTCCCCGAAAGGCCGGGACCTGGAAAACCTGTGGGAGCCACAGTCCCCTCCCCACCGGCTTCCATGCTTCTCTTTGAGTCCCAGGGTGTTAGGACCTCGTGGCTTCTCCATCTCTCCCCCGCCCCACACAATCTCCCTCGACGGTCTCAAAAGTCCCCCAGCTTCAACTATCTCTGTTCTCAACCCTACACGCCCCTCAAACTCGTCCTCTCCAGGTCCATCAGTGGGTGACATCCGGCCCTTGATTGCTGGCCTGGAAGTTCTGTGCATATCTTAGGTTCCTGGCGCCCTCCATCCCTCACCTCAAGTCACACAAGCTGATGCTGTGGGTGCGCCCTCCCTCCCAGTGGAGCAGGCTGCTGACCTCCTACGGCGCCAGAGCTTTCTCCACCAACCCCAGGAGAATTCATGCACCCCACCCTACCCCAGCAGCCTTCAAACAACGCCTGAGGAGAGCTACTGCCATGTCTGGGGGGAATAACTCAGACCGTGCGCTCTGCACTGGCTCCCCAAGTCACCCAGCAGGGCCTACAGTGATAATCAGCCTGGAACATGGCTTCCACCTGCCATCTGCCTTTCCCTCCTTAGTCTGCCTCCCTGGCACCTATTGTATTTTCTGGGATCACCCAAATAAGGTATTTGCTGTTGGATCCTTATCTCAGGATCTGCTTCCAGAGGAGCACAAAGCACTCAGACAGACTCTTCCAGCAAAAAGTTCTTGTATCCTCCCACTTTTATCTCTGTTGCCACAGGTCAGGCCACCGTCACTCCGGGGGATGAGGGGACAGCATCTAAGCTGGTCTGCTGGCCTCTACTCTTCCTCCCCTCCCATCCTTTTCCCACATTGCAGATGGATGGAAGGAGGGATGGATAGATGCTGATATAGGTAAAGATGATGTAGACACAGATATAGATATAGCTACAGATACAGATACAGATAAATAATCTGGGCAAGTCTCTTCCGTGCTCAAAATGCCCCTCCCCCCCACTGCAGAGCCAGCTCCTTCCCATGGTCCTGCCTCCTGGGCACCCCAGCCCCATCTCCTCCCGCATTCCAATCCCCAACCCCCATCGCTCTCCCTGCTCCGGCCACGTGGCCTCCAGTGCTGGCTGCTGTGGAGACTTGGCACCTGCAGGTCCCTCTGCCTGGAAGGCTCTTTGTTTGGCTGACTCCTTCTATTTCCTTAGGCCCCAGCTCCAGTGGCCCCTCAAAGAGGTGGCTCTAAAGAGGCCTCCCCCGATCCCTCTTTATCATCACGTTCCTTAGCACTTGAGATCACCATGTTTGTTTCTGAGTTCACTTCTTTCTTGATTCTCCCTCCCTCTAGACTCCTACCCCACAAGGCAGGAGCTTTGCCTGCTCTGGCTCCTGGCTGCATCTCCAGTGCCAGCACAGAGGGTCTGCACAGCTCAGTATTTGCTGAGGGCACGAAAGATGGAATTTTCTGCAGGCTGTTGACCTGGGGAATGCATGTGATGCTTGGGAGGTGAAGTGGATGCCAGGACAGAGGTGAGGGGCTGGGTTGGGGGTGGAGGGCTTCTGCGGCTCCGCCGAGGCTGGCTGTCCTCACTTTCCATCCCAGGGCTCGCTTTCAGAGCCAGATTTACTCTCTGGACTCATTCTTCCATCCTCAGCCCTCAGGGATCTGGCCTTTCCTCCTCCCAGCTCCCTAGCTGCCCCCAAGACAAGCCCCACGACCTCTTTCCACCCAGGGCTTCCTGCCCACTCTGCAGGGGCCTCAGGGGGCTCCGGCCCAAGCAGGGGAGCCAGTGGCCCTCTGGAACATGCCAGGGCTCTCAGCCTGTGTCCCTACCATGTGCTTCCTGAACCCATCTGGTGGATTCCTGCTCTCTTCTGTTATCCCTGAGGCAGGCGCTCCCTAGCCTCCTCCATGCCCTGGCTCCTGACCCCTTCCTCCAGGAAGCCCCCCACCCTGACACCTGCCATGAAGCCACAGTCTGTGGGCCCAGCAACCACCCCAGCTCCTCGGGTAGGCAGTCAGCATTCTGGACATCTTCCTGGGCTGGTGTCTCCCACAGGAGCCTCTTCCCTCAGCGTGAAGACCAGACCCTTTCCTCTCCAGCCAGGCCTCCTCCCAGGCTCCTTCACCCGCCTCCGTCTCCTCTCAGCAGAGCCATTTCTCACTCCGTTACTAGGATCCCAGGGCTTGGGGGCAGACAAATCTGAGTTTAAATCTCTGCTGTCTTAGTTCAGATTCCCCAGAGGCAAACCCTGAGATAGGAATTGGAGCAAAGGAGTGACACTACAAAGATGCAGGGAAACTTGACAGAGGAGGGGACGTGGCCCAGGGGAGGGAAGGTGGCCAACCCAGGCAGCTGCTAGACCTGGTAAACCTGGCTAATCCTGCAAATCACACACCTCGGGGCGATACCACTCAAGGGGCGAGGGAGCCGGGGTATCTATATGCCAGTTTCCCTGGCACTTCCTGCCTTCTGTGGGTGGAGGTGGGGCAAGCCCCCAGGCACAGAGATGCAGATACTGGCAGCTGGGAGGCACCGTAGCTTCCTAAAAGGTCTGAGAGATACAGGCAGGGCACAGACAGCACCTGCTCTAACGGCTCTGCCACTGACTAGCTAAGCTGTGTGACCTTAGGCAAGTTGCTCCACCTCTCTGAGCCCGCATTTCTGCAAAGTGTGGTTAGAAATCCCAGCTGTAGGGGTTGGCGGTCAGCAAGAACAGGAGATCAGGCATAAAAAGCCCTTAGTACAGAGTGGGGTGGGCAGGGAGCACAGGGTGGGCATTCAGCAGGCTCGGATGAGATTCTGCCACTTTAGCCTCAGCTCCTTTCTTTTCTGTGCAGAGCAAGGCCTTTCTCTCCTTTGACCTCCCCTTTGCTTTCTGGTCCAGACATTTGTTCTCTGAATAAGAGCCCTAGATTCTGACCCCCACAGTGAGGCATATGAAGTCAGTGCATTCTGAGCTGCCACAAGTATCCACTGCTCAGACACATCTTGTGAGCTATCACCTCCCCGACTTGGCTAGCTCTGCCCCGGAGCCGTTGTCCCGTCCAGCCGATGGCTAACCCCGGCCTGGATGGAGCTGTGGTTCGCCTGCCTGTCTTTAAGGCACCCCCGTGTCCCTCTTGCTTCCTTAGCATTCCGACCCCATTGCAAGGGCCGTGGCTGCCGTGTGCGGAAGACTTGCTCTGCTAAGACCCCAGCCTCAGTTTCGCCATCTGAAGTATGGGGGGCGGGGAGAATGCAGGGGGGCAGGGAGAGGTTGGCCTGGCCCATCTCCAGGGTCCTCTCTTCTCAGAAGGCTCACGAATCTGCAGCACTGGCTCCTGCAGGTGAGGCCACTTACGGGCAGGGTATCTCTCGTGGCGGCAATCCAAGCGAAAGTCCTCCTCGTGCCCATCCCCATTCTCCATCCTGGAAAGAAAAGAAGCCAAAAGCCAGTGTAAGAAAAAGCAGGCTGAGCTGGCAGAGACCCGGGACCAGGAAAGGTGCAGCCCCGCCCCTCTGGGGAACATTTTGCGAAGCAGCGTGGCCCATCGTCCCACGGGATCCTTCCCACGGCCCTGTGAGATGGGCATCGTTATCTTTCCATTTTACTGATGAAGAAACTGAGGTATTGAAAGGTGATGTGACCAATCAGGTGCCATGCAGCTGATAAATTAGAGGCAGAATAGGGATGCAAACCTACGTGCTCTCACAAAAACATGTTCAATCACATGCAAATAGCATATGACACGAGAATGTGTACAGTTTGATTTGCTTAAAAGTTACACACGAATATGCACAAAACATTACTTGCCAGAACATATACCGAAGGGTTAGTGGTGATTAACCCCAGATAATGAGAACGTAGCGGATTAAATCTAGAATCTTCTTTTTGAACTTATCGCTGTTTCCTGATTTGGGGGCAAAGGACTTTTATTAGCTGCGTCACTTTCTTTAACTAAATCAAAACATTCCCTAAAGACATTTCTACATAAAAACAAAGCCCTGGTCTTCTGACCTCTGCCACAGCGCTCTTTCCCACCAACAACTGTGAGAATTTCTCCTCTGGCATCTCAAGATCATTGCAGTTCCAGAGGGAGCTGTCTCTACTGGCCTGGCCGGGGATGGGATGACAAGCACAGAGCAGAGGAAGGGTCAGAGTGAAAGCAGCTGCAGATTCTCCAACACAGCTCCAGACCTAGACCCTCACCCCCATCCCACCGATGACTGAGCCAGAGAATGGGCAGGGCCACAGTCCCACGTGGCTCTCATCCACGTGTAACCCAAATACATTCCAGAGCTCTGTGAGGTCCGGTCCACATGTGCCTCACCTTTAGACAAACATAACCTAGGCCTCCAACGTAGAAACAATTCCAACCATTACTGTACGTCCTAAAAAACACTGAAAGCACCCCCAATTCCTTATCTGTGGCCCTGCACCTTGACATCGGCCCTCTATTCCTTGCTTTGCTTTTACTTGCCTTGCAGCTGTCCTAGAACCTCTCTCGTCTCACATCTCACTTTCAGTGCCCCCTACACTCTCTCCAGTGCCCCCAGCATGGTGTCTTCCCTTTTCCCCACCCTCCTCTTCTTTCCACTGCTCTCGTCTTTTCTCTCGCGCAAGGATGCCTCAATTCTTTCCAAAGCAAATGCCCCACCCCTGTTTTCTGACTCTTCCCATCACCTCTTATTCCTAGTTGCATAGCTGTGTCCAGAAGCCTGGGGCTAGAGGAGACGTGGGGCAGGCGGTGACTGACAAGCAAGCAATGCCAGAAGTGTCCCCAGTAGAAGGGAAAGAAATACTCATGCAATGATAATTTGGGTCTCCTAACATTGTTCATTCACACATTCAGCAGGGATTTCCTGAGGCCCTGCTCTGTGTAGTTTGTATCAGATGCTGTAGAGGGTGGAAATGTCTACTTCATAGGCTCTGCCCTCAAAGAGCTTCTAGTCAAGTAGGAAGTCAAGCACGCACACGAGTTAGAAAATCCCATGCATTAAATAACACACTTCGGGATTGCCTACGATAATGTCTGTACCAGGGGCTATAGGCCTGTGCTTCCCAGGAGACAAACTCTGAACACAGATCTTATTAGCAAGGACCTTCTGTGGCCTAGGAAGCCCCAGATGGCAGAACAAAGGCCTGAGTGTAGATGCTATAGGAAGGCAGATATCCTATAGATAACTGACGCTATAGGAAAGTTCAAGGGAGGTTCAGTATAAGGGAAGATGTATTTTTGTTTGTTTGGTTTTTTGATTTTTGGTTTTTTGTTTTTTAGTGGAAACATCCTTGTTAGTTTCCTTATAGTACAGGCTTGTTTAAAAAATTCCAACCCTATGGGCTTCCCTGGTGGCGCAGTGGTTGAGAGTCCGCCTGCCGGTGCAGGGGACACGGGATCGTGCCCCTGGTCCGGGAAGATCCCACATGCCGCGGAGCGGCTGGGCCCGTGAGCCATGGCCGCTGAGCCTGCGCGTCCGGAGCCTGTGCTCCGCAACAGGAGAGGCCACAGCGGTGAGAGGCCCGCGTACCGCAAAAAAAAAAAAAAAAAAAAAAAATTCCAACCCTATAGACAGAGCAAAAGTCCCCCTATAATTAAACCTCCATGAAGGGAGATCACCACAGATAGTAGTTTAGGGTTTCAAAATTAATACTATTTTTTACATAAATAGCCTCAAATTAAACAGATTTTTCGTAATCTGATTTTTTTTTTTTTTTTTGCAGTTGAAAAGCAGCCGCAGACAATATGCAAACGAATGGGCACATTGTTTAATAGATGATTATGTACGGCAGGTGGTGGCCTGGACTTGGCTTCCGGGAGATAGTAGGTTTAACCTCTGGTCTAGCCAGTGGTTCTCCATGGGGAGGCCCCCTGAAGTCACCAGGGGAGTTTCAAGTTGCCCGGTGATCACAGTGTACAGCCAGGGTTGAGATTCACTTGTGTCGGGACCGGCAGAGGCTTCACAGGAGAAAGCGATGCTGGAGCTGCATCTTGAAAGCCACAGGACGCGCTCGCCTCTCAGAGAGGGAGCTGGGATCCAGCCCAGGTCTACCTGTCTTTCTGCTGTGCTGTGTGGCCGTTCTGGAAAGAGCTGGTTCCTTGCACAAATGCAGCCCTCTCCACCAGGTTCGCCAATGAAAATAAACGGTCTGCAGGGTCCTGGCAGCTGTCTGGTGAGTGGCTAACGCTTGGTTACGGCAACGCCTGTGACCCTTCGTCCCCCTAACCCCCGTGCTTCCTGGCAGAAAACACGTGAGGACAAGAGGATGCTTTGGGCACAACTGAGACCCTGGGCCCTGCAGTGAGGCGGGATCGTGGCTGAGCCCAGCTCTGTTATGAATGGACAGCTCACCCGCTCTGAATCTCTGTGATCCGGAGTTTTCTACGTGGCCATGGGCAGGACAGTGGTGGTAGGAATGACCGTAGGACAGCTACCATCGCCCCACTGGTTGTTGTGAGGTCAGAAGCCCAGGACCTGGCACAGAGGGAGGGCTCAGAACAGAGTAGCACCTACTACTGGTTTTCAATCTGTTTAATCATTGGTCTCCCCACAAACATTCTAAACTCAGAGAGAAGGATGGAGTTTATCTCCTTTTCCACCTGTAGTCTCAGGGTCTAGCACAGCGATGGCACAAAGTACCCCAAAGAATGTCAGAAGGGAGGGAAGGGAGAGCGGGGTAGGTAGGGAGGCAGGGAATTGAGGAAAGGAAGCCAAGGCTAAGAGCAGACCACCGGGGAGGCAGCCCAGGTTCAGCCAGGGAGGCTGAGCTTTGTATTGAAAGAAAAGGAAATACTCAGATGTCACTAGATGACTATCTTCTTTAATTTGAAGTGCTTCCAGCAAGAAATATTATGTGCTTTCTGAAGACAGGCTTTTTTTTTTTGGATGGTGGTGTGAGGGGTGACCCACGAATCTAAATAAGTGCTTTGAAGGGCTAGTGGGGGATGCTTGGGGTGAAGCAGAGCTCAGAAGGGGCAGCGGGGGGGGGGGTCCCAGGGCCCCTCAGGCCCTCCATGCACCTGCTGTGTCACCTTCCTCTCCGGGTCTCAGCGCCTCCTCTGTGAGCGGGTGGAGTGGTGGCTCCACCATGTACTAGCTCTCTGAGCCTGGACACGTCCCTGTCATCCCTGAGCCTCGATTTCCTCATCTGATAAATGGGCATAATAATGTACCCACTCTTAGGGTTGTCATAAGGATTCAGTGAATAATACATGCTCTAGCTCCATCTGTTTGGCATTCTTACAGCACTGCCTGCACTTGCTACTGTCACAACTGTTATTATCATCGTTGTCGGCATCCTCATCGCTGGGGCCTTTGCGGTCGGTCACTCTGTGACTCCACCTCCCAGCTCCTGATGCAGAAGGATATTATTTTAACATATTAACCAATGCTCCCCCTCAAAAACCCCCACATACACCCCTTCCTTTCATTTCATCATTTTGACCTCGTTGCGTCAGGAAAGGGATGTTTTCCAAGAAGCAGAGAAAAGGTTTCAAAGTATGGAACACCTCTGGATTCAGGGCAGAGGGAAGCACAGGGAGTCACAGCACAGCCTTATGCCCCAGAAGAGAAGAGTCTCCCCAAACTGGGGACAAGGAGAGTCAGAGCAGAGGCTGAGTGAGCCGATGCTGTGATGTGCAGAAAGGTGAATGAGCCCTAGGGAAAGGCGACAGAAACAGAGGTAACTGCTCAGACTTTCACAGGAGAGAGAAATAAACTTGTACATTGTTTAAATCCTCATTATTTGCGGTATATTTACACCTCATTATTTGCGGTATATTTACACTGATTCAAACCTGTATCCCAACCACAGAGGCACTACCATCGTCATCATCGTTACCATCATCCCCATTTTACAGATGTGAAAACTGTAACTTGCCCAAAGTCTAGTGGTGTGCTGGTAAAGATCAACAACCAGCTCTACAATAGAAAGTGCTCTGCTTTGGGGTGTTTGTGGACCTCTGTGGGGTGAATACTCCCAGCACGGCTGATCTGAAGCAGAGAAAAGGCTTCAAAGTGTCAAACACCCCTGGACATCACTGAACGTGTGATGTCACCGAACGTGGCACCAGGAAGGCATCTGTACACTCTGCTCTCATGGGCCAGCTCCACCCCGGCAGCTGGCTGGTGGCAGGGCAGGGATTTGAACTCAGGTTTATCAAGAAACAGGCCCGGGCTTCCCTGGTGGTGCAGTGGTTGAGAGTCTGCCTGCCGATGCAGGGGTCTGTAACCTTGTTTCCTCACCCATTAACCACAGTGCCCTGACCACAAGATGGCCTTTTTCATGTAGGATTACATGACACCACTCTGACTTGCCCAAATATAGCTCGCGTAGTATAATAAGAAACCACTGGCTTTGGCCAAATGAGGCTTAGCTGTCTCCAGCCTGAGTGACACTCCTTCTTGTCACTAGGGAGTAATGATCTAGT